TATATATATATATATATATAATATTGGCACAATGGGGCCGATTGTGTGGCCAAAAAATGCCCATGTTGTGTGCAGCCACAGTGCAGTACACAGGCAGTGGGCAGCATTGAGAGCTGCCTCCAGCTGGTAAGTCCAGCATGGTGGGAGGGAAGGGGCATGAGGGGGGGCAGGTCAACGCCCCCCACGGTGAGGGAGGGCAGAGCCGTGGCTCAAGGTGGGGTGGAGATGGCTCCCGTTGCTGTTTGCACCACGGGAGGGCACGGGGGGGTGCCCCCCAGATCTGCATGGGGCAAGGCAGGCTGCAGCTGGGGCTGCGCAGGGCTCCTTTCAGCAGGGGCTGGTCTCAGAGTGGGCACTGGCAGCGCTGGGTGGATGCTGCATCCACCCCAAATTTCGCCACCACTGCTCTCAGCACCGCTGCCCCCACCACCTCCCAGTGCAGACCCGGCTCAACAGCTCGCCTCCACCCACGCACCAGGAAGAGCCGGGGTGGCCGGAGGCAGCAGTGGCACTGGGACTGGAGACAAAATTTGAGGTGGATGCAGCATGTTCCCAGCGCTGCCAGTGCCTGCTCTGAACCCAGCCTGCACCAAGAAAAACCTTGCACATCCCCAGCTTCAACTCGCCCCGCACTGCACAGACCTGGAGGGTACATGCACCCCCATGCTCTCCTGGGGTGCAAGCAGTGGCAGGAGCTGCCTCCCCTTCACCGAGCTGCAGCTCCAACCCCCACTACCTCTTCCTTCACTGTGGGGGATGTTGATCTGCCCCCCGCCCCCACATCCCTTCCTGCCCCTCTCCCCTTCCACCACACTGGACTTACCAGCTGGAGGCAGCTGTATTGGACCAGTACTGGCCAATATGTCTCCTTCAATATCAGCTATTGGCATCGGTCCCAAAAATCTCTATTGGTACACCCCATATCTATCTATCTATCTATCTATCTATCTATTTTTAATATAAAATATATTGGGGCTTTGTATGGCACTTTATATATAGCCTCCAGGCTTGGTGTAGTTTCCCTTCAGCTTTCCTGAGACCAGGTTAGTAAACAATCTAAGAAGTGATCACATAAACTTTTTAAAAAGAAAGTTGCCCACCCTGTTCCTGTCATTTTTATAAAGTAACAGTATAATTTTGCACTGTTTCATAGTTAGTAGGGTCGGAAGGGACCTGAGCAGATGACCAAGTCCAACCCCCTGTCATGGCAGGAAGGAGTACTGGGGTCAAACAACCCCAGCAAGGTGATTGTCTAGCCTTGACTTAAAGACCCCCAGGGTAGGAGCCAGCACCACTTCTCTTGGAAGTTGGTTCCAGATCCTAGC